CCCCTTCCTCTTCACCCTCTACACCACAGACTTCAGCCACTGCACAGAGACCTGCCATCTTCAAGTTTTCTGATGACTCCACGGTAGTTGGATGCGTCAGCAGGGATGATGTGACAGAGTACCGGGCTGTGGTCGACTCCTTTGTTACGTGGTGTGAGCAGAATCATCTGCAGCTCAACGTGGCAAAGACCAAGGAATTAATAGTGAACTTCAGGAAGACCAGGAAACACTTGACCCCTGTTTCAATCCAGGGGGTCAGTGTTGACATTGTGGAGGACTATAAATACCTTGGAGTACACATTGACAATAAACTGGACTGGGCTACAAACGCCACAGCACTTTACAGAAATGCGACTACGAGGCTGAATAAACAGACTTCGTGTCACTTCAAGTAAACCAAACATCTCTGGGGTTTAGAGTCCGACTGAAAAAGGCGAATGAGGTCCTTCAACATCTGCCAGAAAATGCTCAGGATTTTCTATGAGTCTGTTGTGGCCAGTGCGATCCTCTATGCTGTTGCATGATGGGGAAGCAGGCTGAGGGTCGCAGATGCCAACAGACTCGATAAACTGATTCGTAAGGCCAGTAATGTTGTGGGGATGGAGCTGGACTCCCTCAAGGTGGTGTCGGAGAGGCGGATGTTGTCCAAGATAAAGACAATGTTGGATAACACCTCCCACCCACTCCATGACCTGCTGGTCAGTCACAGGAGCACGTTCAGTAAAAGACTGAGATTAAGAAAGAGCACCACTGAACGACCTGGGAAATCATTCCTGCCTGTGGCCATCTCCCTGTACAACTCATCCACTTAACACACTGTTTACTGCAACAGCTGCACCCTTCTTGCACATGTTCTTTTTCAGCTATTTATTAATAAGTGACTTTTATGTATATATATATGCCTGTATATATTGTTCTATTCTTAGTTAGTCTGTCTTTCTTAATGTTTGTTTATAATGGAGCACTGTAACGAAAAATAATTTCCCCTAGGGATCAATAAAGTATTCTGATTGTGATTCTGATTATTTTATAGAAGTTTTGCAATCTATTTATTACATAAAAACTTCTTTCTTAAAACCCACCTCTTTATTTTCAGAGATATAAAACACTGTCTGGCTTCATGAGCATTATGATGACTTAAACCACGTCCACATGATGGCACTGTAAAACACCTTAAGAAATTATTATAAATGTTCCTAATAATGATTTAAAAATAAAGCATTATTGTGTGTGTGTGTGTGTGTGTGTCCTCTTGTATAGTTTATATCAGTGGTTTTGAGACTGCAGGACTTGGTCAAACATCCAACATTGGTCCAAGTTGGACACCAATCATCACAGGAGATGATGGAGAGAAACTGAGGTAATTATTATTTATAAGAGGAAATTAAAAAACAGAATGAATATAATGAACTGTTATACATTTATGCTGTGTTTCAACTGAGATGAACATTCAATTTAGTCTGAGTGTTACTCCCACTAAAATATTTTCCAGTTTTAGTAATAAATAGGAAAATCCCTTAGTAGCAGCTGGCTGACTCATGACCCTGATTGCTGATTGACAGCACCTGTGTGAAGTAGTGCTCAAAGTGTGTATAAAAGCAGCAGACTGTGTTTTGTTTCAGTATGAGTATTTTTTTTTTCTGTTCCTACGGCAGCTAGTTAGAAAACTCATCAGTTACAGTTGTGCACCAGTTTTGAGAATGGGTAAGAGGTTTTCTTCCTGGTAACTGCTGAAATGTGTTTGGTTTCTAATTGTGAAAGTGTTTGGTTTTTGTTTTGGCTGTTTCCTTTGGCAATCAATGTGAGATGTTTGTATGTGACTGGATCTCTATCAAATCTTTATTTTTGGCTTTGCAGCCAAGAAAGTGCTGATTGTGTATGCCCATGAGAGCCCTGCCTCTTTCAATGCTGCTGCCAAAGATGCTGCTGTGGCAGCT